TTAAATCTTGGGCCTAACAATTTTAGCCAAAATCATAAATTTCCAAAAGTCAATCTTTTTGCATGATCTTATTGAGTAAGTAGCCCTCGACACAAAATGTGAAAGGATGACTGCACTTAACGCCGGTTTTTGGGTCTTTTTCAATCTCTGTTATCACGTTTATTTTTGTTTTTATTTTTGCCTTAAGTCTTTTCTTATAGAGTTTGGTCTATTTCCAAATGAAAGGCAATGTCATAAAGCTTATAAACTGCGTTGCAATAAAATAACTTGTTGTTTGCTTACCCCACCTCTCTGCAAATATCGGGAAAATAGACGTATCTGCCCTTGATTGGAGATAAGATTTATAAATATGCATAAGAGGCGGAGCTAATATTGTGTAGAGTGGTCTAAAATTAGAATAGTTACTGGTGCATTCTCTCTCTCTCTCTCTCTCTCTCTCTCTCTCTCGGCATATGTTTGTCACTATTATTTTTTAAAGTTTTTTAAAGTTTTCAAATAAAGTATATAACTAATAACAAATAACATCGACCGGTAGAAGTAGCCATTGATAATCAACAGCAATGGCTGATGTCAACAATTCGCGTGCTCGAATATAAGTGCAGACTAGCTCAGTCGGTAATGCACAGAATCGATAATATTGAGGCCTGGGATCGAGACCCGCTAACAACATTAAGACTTGCTTTACTTTTTCCCTTTTTTAAAAAAAAAAGAAAAACGTCATAATTACTTCATTTTTTCTTAATTTCTTCTCCCCATAAATTAGCGTGCTGGGGATGGTATGATTTCATTTTTATTTACTGGATCTTACTTTGGATGTTCATGATAAGCGATGGTTCAAAACATAATAGGTAAATCTCTTTTTTCTTGTAGACTACGAACATGTAGAGACATACAATACACTCGAAAATATATAAATATAGTAAAATGAAACGCTTTTGAGATAAATATAAGAATAATCTTATAGATATCTAAGAGAAAAAAGAATAACCAGTGGCTCGATGGGAATGGTTTGAAACATATATGGACAATCACTATCGCCTAGCAGAATGCGTGTTTCCTTACACGTCACGTAATGGAATTTTAGTATTCACAGAGTTGGCTGGATATAGAAATCACTTGGTTAATTATAATATTCAACAGGTAACAACGTGGTAAAAATGGCCTGTTTACTATAGAGAAAGTGAACACACGAAGAAACAGTTTTTTTCTCTTTTTAACCGTGAGCGCATGTTTGTCTATTGATCTGCTTTTAATACGAGGTAATATATATAAATATACAACTACCATAAAAAGGAGAACAATAGAAAAACATGCGCTGACTATGTATTAAGCCTGTAAAAAGGTGGGCGTACTCATTATCCTATGGAGATTCCAGAATATGCAAGGACCCCTCCCAATAAAAAGGACTTCGAACTTCGTTAATACGAACTTTTAATTAACGTAATTACACAAAGTTGCAGTTAACACATTGGCCATTTCTACCATTAAAAGAAATATGCCCATTTTTAAAATTAATTATGTCGCAATTTCTAAGTTTCCTAAAGTGCAGTCATCCTTTAATACCAGTATAACCCATGCATGGTTTACAGTGTCATTACCAGGTAAGACTGGTTTTATGTTGAAGAAAAATACATATTTATTCAATAAAGCATACATTAGGTGACAAATTAAGAACCTTAGCGGCATTGAAACTACTTACAGGTGTTATGTTATAGCAGTAAAAAATGTAATCAATACAAAAATCAATGTTAACTACTATTTGGATATAAAACTTCTTCTACTTTTACCCTTCAACCCCTAGAGACGCATTTGGGTGCATTTTCACCATCACAGATATACAATTGTGGGCGTTTTGTAAATGATTGTTATTTTTTGAAACTAGAGAAGAAACATTATATTTAGTTTTTTCTAAATAAGCATACATATGATGTCAAACTTGAAAGTGAAATTTAAGATTTTTTTTTAATACACATGAAAAAAAATGACACCAGGTACGGTTGGGGAAATATGTTAAGAGTGAAGTTCAGATTTATTTTTTCCAAAAAAAAAAAAAAAAAAAAAAAAAAAATTAAGTGTTTTCCTCTCAACAGAATTATTGAAATTGGGTTAAATCCCTGAAATTAAAATGACGTATATCCTTCCTTGTATTTTACAGCTAATAAGCACAAAAAGCGTTGTTCTCAAAGCCGTGAGACAGAATATGTAAGTAAAATTTCATTCTTTTAAAAGTTATACATGTCTTAAGTTGGGTTTTTTTTGGGAGGGGGGGGGGGCGTAGTACGCCTAGTGTTGTTTGTACACGTATAAAGAATTCTACTTCTTCTATAGACTATTTGAACAATGTTCAATCAATTTCATAATCAGATGTCATAGGGAAAGTGGACAATTTTTCTTTATATTTCTTCAGAAGGTTACTACAGTTTTGGGCAAATTTTAGTGAAGTAAGATAAGAATTAATCCTTTTAATTTAAAATTGTTGATACAGTAAATTAGTAACCATGGCATTATTTTTCAGAAACTAATAATTATAAGAATTGAAGCCTGTTGTATGAAATGTTTTGTTTCACTATAACTAAAACTGGTGAATTGGTAGTTTTTTTAATTTAACACACAAAGGACTTTTTGGACCAGTTCGTGTCTCATTTTTCTATACGTTTTATTTTTCTGGATATTACCAGTTTTCTCCATGTGCCCAAGTGCTAAAAATAACGCCACGCGACGTTTCATAACAACGGGAAGTAACTCTAAAACTACTTATCAAAAAGATATCATATTAAAGTTAAAGCTTAAAAAACAGAGAATCGGAAATTGATTAATAGAGGAATATGAAATTTTTTCAGAGTATTTTTTTTCTGACATAGCATGCATGACGATTATAATGCTCGTAATTGTCATCTTTTATGAACCCTTTATATATCTAATCAAGTAGTGAACATGTTGAAGTTCCCCAAATTTATTTACATGTGTACAGGATAATAAACTCTTAATCATCTGATGAGCTGATTGACTCTCTATTGATTGTCACGCTTCACAGCGTAGTCGCTGATTATAACGACGTGTTTGTTTAACACAGTGCATGGCAGTCGTAGGATAAACACAATTAACTACTCAAGTCATTAAAAAGTAGGTGTCAGGATTGAAATGCAATAAAATTTAATCATGGCGGCTGCCGATTTTAACCATGGCGCAGCTCGTTTAACCATGGCGCACAAAAATTTAACCATGGCATTTGCGCGGTATGATAAATTTGTCGGAAAGGCCAGGTCTGCTATAGGACCGAAGGCAGCCAAAAATATGAATTCAGTACTTATATTTACATTCTCTAATTTTCATTCTTCGTAATTGCTTATTTCATTATCTTTAATGTTAATTTAACGCCCTTTAAAACTGACGCTGTCAAAAGACGTAAGAACCGTTTGTGACGTCAGATGACGTTGCAAAGATATAACGCAAACAAACATTGCGAGGGAAATAGTTACAAATTAATTTTAAACGCACATTTGTAGTATTTTTACGTTAATTTAACAGGATTATAGTGGTTAATTAAATTGAGTCAAAACATTGTACATTTGGGTGTTCCCAAATTATAGAAAATGCATATACAATGTATATCCTACTGTGAATTCTAACGCGCGGTGACAAGGTTTCGCGTCTTATAGAAATTTGAATGTCGTGGATTTCTAATGAATTTCATGTGGAAAAATACACGGAAAGCAAATATTTTATTATAACATTCATGTACTTGTGTGTCTATCTGTGAGGAGAAAAACATTTAACACTAGAGACGGTTTGTGAAATGTGTTAAGATCAAAATCAGAGTTATTGTTTGATAGGAAACAAAATAGGTGTTTTAAGATTACTGTCTACATTTATGTAGATTCTCTCAAGTGAATTGTTTATGCCAGCTAGCTCTTGTCTTCCTTTATTCAGTTAAATCCTTGAACTGACTTTTTTAAATGCTACAGCAACAAATGTCATGATATTTTACAAAACATTTTAGAATATTTAACTCAAATCTATGTCAAGGCCCTTTTAGAGGAAACATGCCTGGGCATTAAAAACATTTCGTCTCTTATATTCCATATCAAACTACATTTACACAAAATGGTTATACGTATTTTCCCCTATATCATGTATCAAATATTATCTCATTATTGTGTTTTTTGTGGATATTTAAGGAATGTTTTTTAAGTTCTGTGTGAGTTATTGGTGTGTGAATCACACAGACTTTTCACGTAGGCATACTTAATGAAGTGCTAGCGCTTCATGTAAAATATGTCTACTGCACGTGCAAGTCTGTGTGATTCACACAACAATAATTCACACTAAACTTTTAAAAAAAAATCCTTATATTTACATTTTACATGTTTGGAAAAAACTAAAATATATTCAATATTTGATTTCTCGATGCCCTATATCGTTGAATTTTTACTAACTACGCTGCAGCCTCATTGTGACGTCACGTTAACGCAATTTTCTCTGGGTATACATATATTTCTACGCGTGAGTAAACACGAAAATGGTTTTCAAAATGAATTTCACAGTTGGTTTTGTAGGAAAACAAAGCGAATGTAAAAATTGTTAATGTATTTCTAAAAACATGCTTTCCTTGTTTAGTATCCTTGATGCACTTCCATTTCCTGTCATAAAAACCTGATAGAACTGAATTTTTAGGAATTTCATTCATTTTTTTGTATATACAGAATTTATAGAAATAGCGAACGTAAATTGCAATATGAAAAATGAAGTAATAATTTTAAAAGAACTAATTAATAAAATAGCATTTTTTCATTCTTTACTAGGTACCTGCAAGATTAGTGAGCAAGAAGTTGGCTTAAGTATAATTATCGGCATCCAATTAGTACAAATAAAAATCAAATCAGTACAATAAGAACTTTCATCTCATCGTCAACAATAATTTACAATAGTTATTGTAGTGAGTGTAAATCAAAAAGTCGTAACCGCAAAGAATTAACCATTTGTGTCCCCTTGAGAAAAAAACCAGACACAACCGGAAGTTATTTTATACGATGTCGGAAAATAGCATTCAACAAACTTCTTTATTGCAAGTAAAACATTCCTCTGTAGTTTCGAGAAGGAAATACAAACCACCTTTGCCGCCGCGACCAACCCTTAAATCTATGCAATCCAAATCGTTTCCGGAAAATCAATTGCTTCCTTCCTTAGTTGTGGCTAAATGCACAGCGTCTGATAGAGTCTCTGGCTTGCAACCAACATTGTTGTCCGCAGCGACTCAGCAAAGTTTACAACCTTCAATAAAACCTGTATCATTTTCAAACATTAAATTGAAGAAATCGCCTCAATCATCAACAGACGAAAAAACATCGCCAGCGTCAAAAATTAAACCGCCAATACCTCCAAAACCGCCACAAATCCAAACATTATTTGAAGCTTCTTCATTATCACTAAAGAAAAAAAAAATTTCATATATACCTCCAAGATTGTCTCCTGCCACACTGCCAAATGAACTACCTTCTTCGCCTCAGATGCAAGCTTATCAGATCGATAGGACGCATGCCTGTGGAAATCTACATCAAACTGGTACGCAAAAATGATATTTTGTATTACTGGATTTTTTTTATTTTGCTTTATATTTTTTCTCTGAATTAGTATACTTATTCTGCAATATGCTGAGGAATCTGGTCATTAAAATTGCTTAATCTTATTTATCTTTTTTTTCACTAGAAGACATTATAAAAGCAGAAGGTACAATCCCTGTTTCTAATGCTCAATCTAATATTAACAACTCTACCTGTCTGACTTCAACAATTACAACAACAAGCATCAACTTTTCAATTGCTGAGAACGTGAAAAGCCTATGTTCTTCTTCAATTCATGGCTCAATCTGTAATTTGCAAACAATGCAAAAAGAAAATGCGAAAATAACATGTACTATAGATCCCGTTGGAGTAGTGCATATAGGAATTGGAGGGACTTTGAAAATAACAGGAAGTGTAAACATCGTATCTGCAGCAATAAAGTGGTTGAAAAGAAAAGAATCAACAGAAAATACACTTAAAACGACTGATTTGAAGTACTTTAAAAGCTCAACTGACAGTCAACTCCCAACTCTGGTTATAAATGACATAACTTTAAATGATGAGGGTGAATATAAGTTGTCATGTGAAAGTAAAGGAATAATAACAATGAGTCCAACCCTTAAACTGCGTGTCCTAGGAGGTAATTGTATATATGTATTCATTACCGTTTCACACAGCCACACACCCTCCTTCTCTCTCTCTCTCTCTCTCTCTCTCTCTCTCTCTCTCTCTCTCTCTCTCTCTCTCTCTCAAACACACAAATGTTGAACTGATATATCTTTGTATATGTTTGAGGGTGAGGGTATATGTGTGTGTGAGGGGGGAGGGGGGGCAGGAGGGTTAGAGAGGATGTGTGTGTGTTAGGTTCTTCTTGAGGGTTTGTTTGGGGTGAGTGTTTGAGTGTGTGCAGGTACATATATAATGTTATCTGTTTTAAATTGCAGAAGAAAATCCTACAAACTGCAGTATTGAAGAAAACAATTTTATACGTTTCCTTATGCTTGTACATCTCGGAACAGTTGCAATGCGAGTGTTTTTTGATTCAGTTATTTCACCAAGTCTTCTTCAAACACACTTGAAAACACATGAAAATGCCCTAAAAAGCAATAAAAGAATCAATTGCAGTATAAGTCAATTGGATATTCTTTATCCTGGTATTTATATTTGTTTTTTTTAATCTTGGTATTCTTGATTATTTATCTTCGTATCCATTTATATCTTCTTTGCTTCTTATTTGTTATTTAAAGTTGAATTTGGAATGGAAATAATAACATTGTCTTTCTGATTATTATAAAAATCTAGCCCCACCAAAGACGTCTTCATCTGCGGATTTTGATGCATCCCTAATATACAAACTTCTACGGAACACTTGTAACAAGAAACATTTTTTGCCACCAACAAACGGTTGGGGCGCAGAGCCATCATCCAATGACATAAGAAAAACAGACGATATCGAAAGAATACGATTACACAGAAATATGTTATGTCATGATTCAAAACCAGAACTTGACTCCACTACTTTCTACAACAAATGGACAGATTTATCAAATGTATGTTTATTTTAAAACACATGATTGTTTTTAAAAATAGTTCGAAGTAGTAAATAATCTTAAAAGTTTTTCATCTCTCCAATAAGGCATTGATCCGATTGAGCAACGGATGTTTGAAGACAGATGTAGAGGAACTTAGGTCCAAAAGATTCGAGACATATGACAAACATCAAATTCTTACAGAATTAGATTTTTTAAAGAAACAGTTAGCAGAATTAGAAGACGCTGCAACCAGAGCACATATCCCAAAGCATATTAAAGGTACACAAAAAAGATACTGTATTGCATTCTAGAATGCAAATAATTAAGTGGTTTTTTTCAGTTACAGTTACATGTCAATGGTATAAATGAAATCATTTATCTTGCAGAACAACACATACGCCAGATAGACAACTGGAAAGAAGATGACCTTGTGTTCAAAGAAACGAGAGGGTTTAGAAAGGTATTTGAGGTTTGTAGATCAACGTCTGTCATCACTATAGTGGGATGTCCAGCATCAGGCAAAACATCAATAGCAAGACGAATTGCAATGATACTAGAATGCGAAGGCTGGGAAATTGTTCCACTCCTTGATATGAAAGATATGATCGAATTTAGTACTGTTGATTCCATGCAGGTGTTTGTTTGTGATGACCCTTTTGGTATTTTTAGCTTTGATAAGTCGAAATTAAACACAATTACGAAGATCAAAGAGGTATATAAAGTTTTCAAAAATAAAAAAATTATATGCACCATTAGGAAATCTATATACAAAGAATGTAGTTCATTGCAATCAATTTTGTTTGAGAATGTTATTGATATTGACAGTGAGGATTTAAAACTTAATTGTGTTGAAATGACTGAAATTATTGCAAGCCATTGCACGAAAATGGGTGTTAAATCCTGTCAATATCAGCATTTGCGTTTCGAAAGAGATATCGCAATGTTTCCTCTGCTTTGTAAGCTTTTTGCTATGGAGAGGCAATATCAAAAGTTTGGTGTAAAATTCTTTGAATGTCCATATATACATCTCCGGGAACAATTTGAGCATATGAGGGTTTATAACAACCTACAGTTTGCTGGTCTTGTGCTCTGCGTAATTTACAACAATATGTTAACAGAAGAAGTACTAAATAAAAGAGAAAATATCGAGGAGTTTCTAGATTTATGTGGAGTAAACAGAAATACATCTAAAAAAGTTTTGAAAACTACCTTACAAGCCATGGTGGACACATATGTCTGTCAAACAGGAACAACTTTTTCTCTTATTCATGATTCCGTTTTTGAGGTCGTAGCAAACATGTTTGGCCAAAAGTTCCCTGATGAAATATTGAAGCATTTAAGTAGCAGTTTTATTAAATCACATACGATCATTGCTGACGCAATTGAGGGACATGATTTTTCAAATGATCCATTCATTATCATAGAAAGGAAGTTTTACACGAATCTAGCAAAGAGATTAATTGAAGATATAGGATCATTTCAGTTATTTGATGTGTTTCAGAATAATTGCTTGAAAAGGTCAGCTTTTTCTGATGTTTTCCTCAAATGCTTAGATGAACTACCAGACACTGAAATGGAGCATTTATTTCTACATGAAAATTGCAATATACCTAATATATTGGGTGCTGGTTTTTCTAATTTGTGTTCAAACAAATGGACATCTCTTGAATATGATCTATATCTTCTCCTTATTGATATGCGTTGTGACAATGCGAAATCAGGAGAGACATATAATGTTAAGGCCATTAATTGGGTGATTACATACGGACATACAAAACTTTTAAACTATATCGCTAGTCGCCTTATGCATTACCTTGACAATAAAATCTTCACAGAAGATATCCACGAGCAATGCAGACACCTGGTACTAGGAGTGTACAGTAATAACCCTGAAATGATTCGAGCTGTATTAAAGATAATCAAACCGGAGGCTATTAACGCTTGTCCAGCGGGTAATGCAAATAGATGGAACGAACACAGGTGTTTCACACCTTTGACAGCAGCCTCCTGTGCAGGGTATATAGCAGTCATAAAAGTTCTTATTGAACATGGAGCAGACGTCAATATTGCGGATGAAAATGGACGCACGCCTTTATCAATAGCAATTGAAAAATCTTCGTTAGAGGTTGTTAAATGTTTGGTTGAAAATAGCGCAAATGTAAATGAACAAATTAATAGCTTTAAAGGAAATGCGTTACTATGTGCGGTTGGGATGGAAGATTTCGAAATGGCAAAATATTTGCTGAGTGTAAAGGCTGATCCGAACATATTAAACGAAGACGGGAATTCTCCTCTGCACCGTGCAACAGAAAGAGGACTGAAAGACATCGTTCAGCTTCTTTTGGATTACAATGCTGACATCAATCTTGCAACATCAGAGTCGATGTCTGCTTTGCATTTAGCTACACGTTTAGGCAATGCAGAGATCGTTCAGCTCCTTTTGGATTGCAATGCTGACATCAATCTTGCAACATCAGAGTCGATGTCTGCTTTGCATTTAGCTACTCGTTTAGGCAATGCAGAGATAACAAATATTTTACTAAGAAAGGGAGCCAATACTAACTTGAAAAACGGAGACAACGAAACTCCTTTGCATTTTGCTGCTTGTCAAGGAAACATGGCTATTGTAAAATTTTTGATAAATGCTGAATGTGAAATCGATGCCACAAATATCTTGGAGGAAACACCTCTTCTTGTAGCTTTAAAATGCGGACATTACCAGATTGGCAAGCTTTTAACTGAAATTGGAGCAAATTTAAATATATGTGATTATAAGAGCGATACTCCCCTATCCATTGCTTTTTATGGGAAAAATGGCAAATTTGCAAATATTAAAGCTAAGTATTCTAAGATAAACAAGCAACAGAAAAATAAAACGGCATTTCAGAATAAAGATGTCAACATTGTATTCGATTTGATCGAGTATGGGGCCGATGTGAATTTCCGTGATTGCTGTAACGGAACAGTTTTACTGCATGCGTCAATACAAAACAACAATAGACTTGCCATGCTGCTTTTACAGAAAAATGCGGACGTGAATTATTGTGATGTTGAGGGTAACTCGCCACTGTTATTTGCTGTAATAAATGAAAATGCTGACTTAGTTAAACTACTTCTACAATTTGGAGCCGATACAAATTTGTACAATAAAAAATTTCAATCTCCTTTATCTATCTCTATAATTAAAAAATTCGATGATATGTTAGAAGAACTTATTTATAGTGGTGGTGATGTCAATTTTTGTGACAATGATGGAAACAGCCTTTTACATCAAGCTACTCTAATGGGCGCTTTGTCTGTTGTTCACATCCTCATTAGCAACAAGGCAAATACCAATATTAAAAACAGGCAAGGAATGACCGCTTTACACTTGGCTTCCATAAAGAATTATGTGTCCATTGCTAAAATTCTTATAAAAAATGATTGCAACGTAGACGAGTACAATGAACAGCACAGTACTGCTTTATTTTTGGCAAGTGCTAGAAATAACGTAGAAATTGTTGAAATGCTCATTGAAGCAGGGGCAAGAATTGATTTGTTTGATGTAGATAAAAGAACACCTCTTTTCGTTGCAACTTATAAAAGCTCCATGTGTTCAGCAAGATTACTTCTAAATGCTGGAGCTGATCCAAATCGCATTGGCTGCGAAGGAATGTCGCCATTATTGTCAGCTGTGTCTAGCGGGAAAGAAGATTTTGTAAGGTGTTTGCTTTTACACTGCAAATATAAGCATTATTCCTATGACCGCAGAGTTTTGATAAAGGCAGTGGAACTAGGGAATACTGGTATGGTGAAACTTCTTATTGAACACAAATTTTCCGTGGATTCTATCGATTCCAACCAAACTACGCCGTTATTGTTGGCAGTGGAAAGAGTCTACCCGCATATTATTAGGATTTTGCTAGACAACAACGCTGATGTTAATATATGTGGAAAATTTGGAATAAGCCCACTTGTGAAATCGATTGAAATGTACAATAGATTACAATCATTTGATATAGATAGAAAAGAACGCTATTCAATAGTGCAAATGATTTTAAATGCAAAACCTGATGTAAACTATAGCATCAACGGTAATTCTCCCCTAAAGGTGGCTTTGAATGATGGAAAAGGATCCAGGGAAGTTGTTGAATTACTTTTGCTACAGAATGCTAATATTAATCATAGAGACAACGTTTCATTACTGATCTTGGCTGCTGAACAGGGAAATTCAGATATAGTTCAATTGCTACTAGACTATAATTTTGAAACAGAAAATGTAAATTATTATGGAGAAACTGCATTACTTGTGTCTTTAAAACATAGGTTTTTGCATATAGCTATGAAACTTCTTCACCAAGGAGCAAATGTAAATACTGAAGATGATAAACATCGATCTGCCATTTACTTTGCTGTAAAGGCAAATGCAAAAGAAGCAGTAAGCTATATTCTGAAAAAAGGATGCAATTTCAATCTTTGTAACAAAAGATATCTTCCCTTCCACAATGCTGTCTATTTAGGTTACACAGAAATAGTTTTCACTTTAATGCGGCATCAAGCTGATATTAATTTAAGGGACTCCGATCACCGCACGGCGTTGTTCTGGGCTGTTTTCTTTGAAGATGTAGAAATGGTAAGCATATTGGTAAATTTTGGAGCCATTACAAATGTATACGATTCAAGGGGAAAATCACCTTTAATATTAGCAGTGGAGAATTCCAATACAAAGATTTTGAAAATATTACTCGAAGCCGGGGGAAATCCCAATGAAAGGCATATAGAAAATAGAAATATGCCAATGCTTTCGGAAGCAGTAAAAAACAAACAAAATGAGATTGTGAAGATGTTACTTGAATATGGTGCAGATCCAAACCAATATGATGACATGAAAAGGTCACCATTACTCTGGGCAATTCAGGAGGAATTATTTGAAATTTGTGAAACTCTTACTCGATACAATGCAGATATAAAAGCTGAACAACTTTCCTTCGCGTTAGAATGCAACAATTTGGATATTGTACGATTATTGTTAAAAAATGGTGTAAATATTAACAAAATAACATTCCCTCTTGCCAAGGTTTCTATCAACACAGCTTCTGAAAATGTTAATACATCACTGCAATTCCTTCATAAAAACCAAAACAAAATTGCTGTGGTAGACAAGGAAGTAATGCAGATTTTAAATAATTGGCTCAATGTATCATTTTCTGCAGGGCAGGGAAGCAGATTCCTCTATAAATGTTTTACAAACAACCAGCTTGTCATTATTCTTACAGATCTTTATATTGCAATAAATGATCCAGAGGGCACAGTTGATATTCCAGTCATTAATGCTGTTGAAATTGGAGATGAAATTATTGTAGAAGATTTATTGAAAAAATGTGGAGCAAATATGGAAATATATAACACCGAAGAGAGGACCCCTTTTATTTCTGCATCACACAACAAAAATGACAATCTCGTTCGTCTTTTGATCATGCATCAATCATTAGTCAACAGTTGCAATAAATCTTGCCGATCACCATTGGTTGTTGCTTGTGAAATGAGAAAGACAAAGACTGCTGCTTTATTATTAAATCAAGGTGGTGAGATAGATGTCCTTAATGAAGAAAGAAAAAGTAAACATTTGCTGGCAGTTGATACCAATCTCGTAACTACAGTTGATATGCCGTTGCACCCAACACTGTATATGAATCAGGATGAAAAAGGAAAAGATCCTCTACTTGAGGCATACTTCGATAAGAATTGTGATTTGATGATCAAGTTGCTTGGGAGAAATGCGGAATATAATTCAGTCAACGAATTCAACAACATCCCTTTCATTGTATTTGCAGTTATTCAGAAAAATCTTCAACTACTTCACCTACTCATTGAGAGAAATTATGACATTAACCTTTCAGACAACATCGGAAGAGTGCCATTAATAGAGGCATGTAGATATTCCTATATTGACATTGTGCAAGCTTTAGCTGAGGGCGGGGCTGACTTAAATATTTACAATGAAAATAAAAAGTTTCCTTTGTTGATAGCAACAGAAGCAAACTGTATTTCAGCCATAAAGATTCTGGTTCATCACGGTGCTAATATTAATCAACATGATGGCGATGGGAGTATTCCACTTAACATAGCAATTCGAAAAGGATATAATGATATTGTAAAGTTTTTGCTAGAAATGGAATCCAAAGTAGATATCTATGATTTTTACGGTTACACCCCATTGATCTATGCTCTCATATTTTCAGAAAAGGATAAATGTAAATCAGACATTTTATTATCTTTGATAGCTAACGGATCAGATGTCAATTTGTCTGACATTGATAATATCCGTCCTTTAAATTTCGCTATAGCAAGAAACCAGCAGGAAAACGTTGATATTTTACTTAGGAATGGGGCGATTGTGAACGGATGTGATGATGCTTTTGATGATGATGGTTTTGAAATTCCTCTTTTCTTGGCAATGCGTTTAAAGTTTGACAAAATTGTAGAAATTCTTCTTTCGCACAACGCTCATGTGAATATTTTTGATAATGCCGGGCGCACTCCGTTGCACAGAGCAGTTGATGATGAAAATATACCCCTAGTAAATCTTTTAATATCTTATGGCAGTGATGTTAATTTGTCTGACCTTCAAGACAAAACAGAAATGTCACTACTGCATATTGCTATAAGGAAAGAAAACACGAATTTGGTACACATTTTATCAAAAGACAAGTCATTAGTCAACGATTGTGACGCTTGTGGCCGTTGTCCTCTGAGTTATGCGGCAGACAATACGGACATTATGAGAATTTTAATGAAATCTGATGATGTTCTTCATTTCTCAAGTGCATATTCATATCATTTGTTGCTTTGTGATGCTCTGCACCGTGCTTGTAATTATCAAAACGTAGGAACTGTAAGGCTCTTATTAGACTATGGATTCAAAGCCACTAATATGATAAATAAAAAGTCATGTTTGTTGATGCCAGAAACAGTTTCTAATTCCAAACTTCTTACTAAAATTTGGGCAAGGATGAATTTTTGTGCCACACCGACTTCACTCATTCAAGCACCTATAGCAGGGGAAACAGAGATTGTTAAAGGGTTGTGCAGAAAAGAGATCTTAGTAAATTTTCATGATCTGAAAATCACAGCACTCCACCATGCAGTGATTAATGGAAATTTACATATAGTTAGAGAACTTTGTAGTTCGGCTGCCGATACAAATGTTATAGACGATAAAAAAATGTCACCTTTACTACTTGCCATAGAGGGCTGTCATCTAGATATTGTCAGAGAACTGTGCAGAAATGGAGCAAATATCAATTTACCGGGCGTAAATAACTCTCCTCTGTTTGTAGCAGCCAACCTTGGTTATATGGACATAATTGAATTTTTGATGAAGAATGGTGCAAATTTAGTATCTGACAGACTTGCCTTAAAACAATTATTAAATCTAATGTACAAAAACAATGACATTGAATTCTTTTATTCTCTTCTTGCGAAAGGAGCAGACCCAAATGAACGGGAATGTGACCACCAAGGAAACACCCTGTTGAGTTGTGCTGTCCGGGATGGTAAGACATATTTCGTACGCGGACTACTGGAGCATGGAGCTACTGTAAATATTACTGATAATGATAACAAATCTCCCCTTTTAATCAGTGTGGAAAACAATCGTTCCGACATAACACGTATTCTTCTTCAATATAATCCTGACGTTAACTTTTGTGACAACAATAAGCTAAGTCCATTGCATGTTGCCATCGAAAACCTCCGAATAGATATTGTGAGGATTTTGCTTCAGAAAGGTGCAAAAGTAAACGCAATGGATAGTAACAGTACGTCTCCTCTCATACGTGCAATATTTGTTGGTAGTAAAGACATGTTTATGGATTTATTGCTCAGCAATGCTGATGTCAACCAGAGTAACATCAAAGGCCAAACACCATTACATATTTCACTTTTGAGCAATAGACTTGACTTTGCTACTTTACTAATACACAAAAACTGTGAAATAAACGTTTGTGATTCATCCCAGATCACACCCCTTCATATCGCTTCAGAAAAAGGTCAACTTCAAATTGCACAACTCTTAATCGAGCACGGAGCAGAATTAAATGGTTCAGTATATAGTTCTTTTACCCCCCTCCAGGCAGCTATTCTTAATGGTTGCGCTGAAGTTGTATTTTATATTCTTCAGATAGCAACTGCAAATTCTTCATATTTACTTTATATCAAACATTCTATTCATTTGGCAGCACAGAGAGGTTATGTTGATATTCTAGAAGCACTGCTAACTTTCGGTATAAATGATATCGATTTTGATTCCGAATGCAACCCACTCCTCAAAAATGCAATACAGCATGGAAGGACGGAGGTCGTCAGACATATTCTTCATTGTGATACATTTCAAAACATAAATTTTCAAGACATAGAATTTCTCCTAGAAATAGCTTTAGAACATGAACATTTTAAAATATTTGATTTACTCATAGAAACGTATGGGAAAAACAAACTGAGACTAAGTAATCTTTTAAGTACAGCTATCAAGAATTGTAAAGGTGAGGCAAGAAGACATAATAACAATGTTACACCGTCCACTGATGACAAATTTGTTAAATGCTTAATTACAAAATCAGTTGATATAAATGACAAAGATAGTAATAATACCGCCCCATTGGTTACAGCTGTTAAAACAATGAACGTGGGCGTATGTAGGCTGCTTCTTGAAAACTGGGCTTGTCCAAACACAAGAGATGAACACAATATACCTGTACTTCACATCGCCTTGTCGAACAAGTCTGTGTCGATCGCAAAGTTACTTATAGAATTTGGCGCAAATGTTAATGCCACAGATCGGTATGGCAGAAGTCCAATTTTTCTATCTTGTATACACGATTTGAAAGAGATCATATCGGATTTGATTAATCATGGAGCCAATCCAAATTTATGTGATATGGATGGCATCACCTCTTATGATTTCAATAAAAAATTTAAGTGAAACAGTCGCTGATATTTTCATCAACAACTCTGCAGACATTAACGCAGTTGATAGGAAAGGTAATACACCTTTTTCCTTGGCAATTGAGAGGCAAATGTACGATCTAGTAGTGGAGATGGTGGAGAGAAAAGTAAACATAAACACAATTGATATAAAAGGACGTACTCCCCTTTTAAATCTTTGTCTTCGTGGTGGTCCAGAAGAAATTTTCGAAGCATTGCTATTTCTTGGAGTCGATGTAAAAATTTCACATTTCAAAAAAAAATTTCCACTCCATGTCTCCTTGAAAAATCGCTTATTTTTAACATTTAACATTGCAAAGATGCTCATTGGAAATAAGGCAGATGTTAATGCAGCTGATGAAAATGACCACTGTCCACTTATGCTGGGAATAACAAATTTTCAAATAACTCAAGATTTCATTGAAAATGGAGCAGATATTAATAGACGTAATAGTAAAGGAGAATCTCCTTTGCTTCTTGCTACGGAAAAAGGCCTGTGTGATGTCGTGTCATACCTTCTGGACAAGGGAGCAACTACTGAAACCATAGATTATTCTGGTACGCCCGTTTTTCATTTGGCCATTCAAGGAAATTTAAGAAATATCGCGACAGCGTTCATAGACCATGGTGTAAATGTGAAGTGTTGTGACCCATATGGTGTTTCTGCCTTAAATAGAGCAGTAGAAATAAACTTACTAGATATGGTAAAACTTTTAGTGAAAAATGGGGCAAAAGTCAACGCTGGAAAAAAGGACCAAATTTCAGTAAAAGAATTGGCTTATTATAACGATTTTGATGATATATTTGTCATCCTCAGTAAGGAAGATTGATTCGAATATTTTTAGTTTTAATTTTGAGTCATGTGAATTGAGAAATAGTGTTTAATTTCAAAGGCGAAGACATTTCATCAAGGTGTAACTTGAAAACGATGGACATATATGTATTGATTTGTATACTGGGATGAATATGATAACAAATGTTTCATATTAAAACAGCTAAGATGTTCGGAAATTGGTGCTTTTAACAATAATTATACTCCTAATGTTATTGGAAACGAGAAAAATATATGGAGAAAACAAACAGCATTAAAGCTCAGAATTCCATAAAACAATAAAATTTTGGAGCAGAGGAAACACGGACTTCTAAAACATTAGAGGTGAAATCACGAGACAGGGAAAAGTGAGCATCTAATGCCAATCGGACAAACCCGCCGTGTGCTCCTTGTCATAATCGGGAAATAACGGGAAAATCCGCCGACTTTTCAGTGTGACAATAATGATCTAAAAATGAAAATAATGATCTAAAAATAAGTATGAAAAAATTATGTTAGCGATTGACTTATTGATATATTGCATTAGCTGATAAGATCATTAAAATTTGTTTTGCATGCAACATATTTGAATTTTCCCTGTATGTATAATTTCTGTAATTACTGTTTTTGTTATTTTCGTGATATATATGTTCCTATATTTTTGTGTGTATTTTTTATAATGTCATGTCACATAGTCAAAATCTAAGTCATGCAGCTAAATTTGTGAGCCCAGTAAATTACATTTCTAAACTTATCATAATTTTAGCAGCATTTACAGCAATTTACTTACAAACTACATGTATCACAAGGTTGATAATGGGTATTCAATCGAACAATAACGAGCTGCAATCGGTCTATTTTATCTATCATGTAGATAAAGAATATTATGTACTAAAACTCATATTATATGTCATATTTCAGATTTTAAAGAGAAAGGTCATAAACATGCATGAAACATGCTTCAAGGACTTTATGTGAACTTTCATATTTAAAAGTATGTAAATATATGATAAATAGAATACTACATACTAAAATCCATATCATATATGTCATATCATGATATGACATAATATGATATGGATTTTAGTTTTTAGTATTCTATTTATCATATATTTAAATACTTAATATGCAAGTTCACATAAAGTCATTGGAGAATGTTTCGTTCCTGTTTATGTACTTTTTCTTTAAAATCTAATGGAGCCAATTAACACCACAAATGTCAACAAAGAGTAGGGAATATTTCAATAAAATCAAGTAAATTAACTTTTAAACTTTATACAATGTTACATGTACTTCCGGTACAGAATCAGTATATTTACTACTAAGAATAGGATAAAGGAACATATTAAACATATTTATATTTGGTGTTTCCAGGTGTATATGTATATATTTGTGTTATTCAAAAATACACTGAAACTTCTCGCTTGCAGCAAAGTACTACGATAAATAGAAACCTATTTGGAAGATTCAATTAAAAATAAAAATAAGTTATATATTTGAAGTTGAAAGGTTCATTTAATATAGAATTTTCTGACGAAATACCACTAATACAAATATTGAATGACCTATATCGTTCTTATCCTGTGTTAGTAATTTAAGGAGATCAGAATAATTTTTAAACACACGTACAATTTTTTCATATAAATGATTTATTTTGTCGATACCGAGTGGGATTCCTACCAGATCACTCAAGTGTGTTTCAATTACTAGAAACGTATCTTAATATTGTTCAAAACATGGATGATGGCAAATCATGTATAGTTTTTTGTGATTTTTCAAAGGCTTTTGAAAGAGTTTGGCAAAAGGGGCTTCTTTTTAAATTACAGACTGGTATATTTTGTGATATTTTCCAATGGTTTCCCAATCATCTCATCAAGATCACAACAAAATATGTACAAAGATCTGTTATCATCAAAACAAGATATTTTTGCAGGTGTATCTCAGGGCATAGTTTTAACACCACTGTTATTTCTCATTTATATAAATGATATTGCTGAAAATATAATTCCAGTGTGTAGATTGTTTGCGGATAATAATTCCCTTCAACAATCCTCATACAATATATTGGATATAGAATACAAATTGAATCATGATTTAAAAATATAGGAAATTTGGTCAAATAAGTGGCTTCTTAAATTCAATCCATCCAAAACTAAGGTAGTTTATATCAGTAAGAAAAACATTCGCTTTAGGTCTATGATTTCTGTTTTCCCAAGGTTGTTTTTAAAGGCAATAGACTTTAGTCCGTTCCAGTCCATTTGGGTTTACTATTGTTTCGAAATCTTTAGTTGGTCAGAATATATTGATGGAATTGAAAACAATGCTAATAAAAACTAGGTCTTTTAAAGAAATTGAAGTTAAAAACGGGTAGAAAAAACTTTGTATGCTACATTCATCATATCTATGCTTGAATATACATGTACTTCGAATGTTTGGAATGGCTGCTCGAAAGAAGATTCAGAAAATCTTGAAAAAGTACAATTAACAGCCGCTAGAGTTGTAGCCGGACTTCCTATGTTTGCGTCTAGAAAAACTTTTTTTTCTGAAACTGGGTAGCAAACTTTAAAAATCATGATTTGTTGCTAAAAATAAATGACTACTATGTTAAAAATTCACAAGGGACGAGTACCGAAATATTTGCACGATATTGCCCCCTAATAATCGTGAACATGTATCCATATATAATACCTGTAACAAACAAGATTTTATTGATCCAATGTGTAGATTAGAACCCTTAAGAAACTCATGACTATACCTGATGCTACAAAACAACGGAACTCATTAAAAGCAGAAACCAAAAAGGCCATCTCGATCACAACATTCCGTAAAAACTTGATAACAAAAATTGATATTCCACCATCACACTTTTCTTTTGGTGAACGATACACAAATATCATTCATAACAAGCTAAGACATTACTGTATACTTATCCATGATCTTTATATTATGAACATGATAAACTAAACATTGTAAATAGTTTATTATGTTTATGTGGAAAAAATGAAGATGTGTACCATTTCTTTTTTATGCATAAATTATTCAAATTCTAGAAGTACTCGTTTGTTTATGCTTGATTTGGTTTCTGTTTATACAAATCTATATGTTGTGATATTAATTTGCTTTTACATATAAATAATAGAAACTATACTATTGCTGCTGTTCATAAATTCATTGAATAAACGTGTATATTCTCTAGTTAATACATTACGTCATTATATTGAATGTACATGTATTTAATTCTTTACTTGTATCTATCATATTTGCACTGATATATTGTGATATTATATAAGGAAAGGAACTTAAGTTAGTATGTTGTACATATATTGTTTCCAATCCTTTTGACTGAATCAATAAAATATTATTAAAAGATTGTGATGACCTAGGGAACTTACGAAATTATGGGAAAAAACGATATTCTTGTTTCATCGAATTATTGTCAATTATAGAAGCGTATTAGTGCCACGTAATAATTTTTAGCTCACCTGAGCCGATGGCGCAAGTGGGCTTTTCTGATCACATTTTGTCTTGCGTCCGTCTGTCTAACTGTCCGTCTGTCTGTCTAGCTGTCTGACTGTTAACTTTTTACATTTTTGACTTCTTCTCAAGAACGGCTGGGTCAATTTCAAATAAACTTGCCATAAAGCATCCTTCGGTGAAGGGGATTCAGGTTTATTCAAATGAAGGGCCACGCCCTTATTCAAGGGAAGATAATTGGGAATTAGTGAAAATATGATGGCATGTTTTAAAAATCTTCTTCTCAAGAACCATTGTGCCAGAAAGAATGAAACTAATGGGGAAATATTCTCAGGTAGTGTACATTCAAGTTTGTTCTAATAATGGTCCCCGGGGGTAGGGTGGGGCTAGAATGTCCAACCAAAGTTTTCCATAGAAATATATAGGAAAATTCTTTAAAAATTTTCTTGTAAAGAATAGCAAAGCCAAAATTGATCATATTTATATGGAAACATCCTCAGGTTGTGTAGATTCAAGTTTGTTCAAATCAGGACCCCTGGGGACAGGGGGGGGGGGGGGGGGCACAATGGCCGATCAAAGTTTTACATAGAAATAAATAGGAATTTAAAAAAAAAAATCTTTTTCCTCAAGAATGGCAAGCCATATTTGATCATATTTATATCCATGGGAGCATCCTCAGGTTGTGTAGATTGCAGTTTGTTCAAATCATGGCCCCCGGGTGTAGAGCGGAGCTAAGATGGCCGATCAAAGTTTTACATAGAAATATATAGGAAAATTATTTATAAAAATTTTATTTATAAAAATCTTTTTCTCGAGAATTGCAAAGCCATAACTGCTTATATTTATATGTAATCATCCTCAGGTTGTGAAGATTCCAGTTTGTTCAAATCATGACCCCCGGGGTAGGGCGGGGCCACAATGGGCAATCAAAGACATAGACATAATAAGGAATATTCTTTAAAAATCATCTTCTCAAGAATAGCAAAACAATGATTGTTCATGGAACTTCTTTTGGATTTGAACTTTTCAGTAATAAATCAATTTCTACTTTTTCCTAGCCACAAACCGTTCACGGTAGCTCAGTCGGGAGAGCTCTCGCTACGTGAACGGGAGGTCGTAAGTCCGAATTTCGGCCGCGACATCTCTAAGTCGATAAAAAATGCGCTCGGCACTTTGAAGTGAAAGTTGCGGGTCCTTCGGATGAGACATTAAAAACCGAGGCCCCATGTAAACGGCAGGCGTTTGCACAATAAAGATCACTCACTGCTCAATGGCCCTGATTGCCAAGTAAAGGTCAAAATTTGAAGCCCTTCACTGGCATACGGTGACGTCTCCATATGAGTGAAAAATTCTCGAGAGGAACGTTAAACAATATAATCCGTCAATCACTCCTAACCACAGTGGTCAAGTGAGCGATGTGGCCCATGAGCCTCTTGTTTAAGTTGAAATTCCAACTTTAAAGTCGGAAAATCCAATTTTAATCTGGGCTTATCCAACTTTAATTTGAGATTTTCTAGCCCATTTTCTTAGTCCCCCCCCCCCTTTATTT